CAGGGAAAGGCCTGAACCATGTCGCCCTCCCGGGGGCCGCCGGGGTGTGGGGAGTGGAGAGCTGCAGGAGTCTGGGTGGGGGAGGCACGGGAGACAGGGAGGGGAGGGAGAGGGGCCTGCACCAGGGGCACCGAGCCCAGGAGAGCAGCCCCGCCCCCGGCAGCGGCTGTCATGGCCACGCACTCTCAGCAGAGGTGGCCTGGCCGGCCCGGCCTGATTTCCCTGCCCGGGGCTGGACGCTGACCAAGCCCAGCACAGGACAGACCTGCCTGCCCAGGTCCAGGCAGCTGGGGCCTCTGACCCCTGTGTACGTTGACCAGGTGACTAGGTTCCGGGCAGGTCCTGGCTGGGCTGTGGGTGGCTGAGACGCTGTGGCCGGTGTCGGGCCTGTGTCCTCATCCCCACGCCCGCCCTTTACTAATGACCCAACGCCCATGGCTCCTTGGCCTTACTGCTGGCCCTGGATGTCCTTCCAGACGCGCCCTGCCATCGGGGAACATCTCTAGAGGCCTGTGGCTCCTTCCCTGCCGCCAGCCCTGTCCAGTGCCGCCTGGGCAGGCAGAAATAGCTTGGGGGAGGACAGCACGCTCCCTCAGGCCCTCCCCACTGGGGTCCTTTGGCTCTCCTGGGGGTGCCTGCTCCTGGCGTCCAGGGACTGGCAGGCAGGGTTTGCCTCTGAGCTTCTGTTCCAGCCCCTGCGATGGCCCATGACTCAAGCAATAGCCACGGTGGCGGAGGGCCTGGGGGTCACTGGACCATAGCCACTCTCAGCCGAGGGTCCTGGGCGCTCGGGCCTTTAAGCCACTCAGGTGGGAGCTCGGAGAAGTGGGGAGTGGCGGTGGGGCCACGGGGCCTCTGCAGGCCGTGGAAGGAACCTACCGTCCTGGGGGCCCCAAGCCACTTCTCCTCTCCTCCGGGCCCATGGGGGCCACGGGTCCCTCCAGCTCTAGTTCTGGGATTCCCTGCGTGGGGGGCGAGCAGGGAGGCAGTGCCTCCAGGAGGCCGAGACGCAGGCTCGTCACCTGGGTCAGGGCGCTGGGCCCCAGAGCCGCGGGAGCAGGGCCCCGGGTCGGACACACGAGGCTGGGACCCTGACGCGGCCCTCCCTGTGTCTGTGGCCTTCCTCAGTTGCCCCCGCGATTGGAGCCCCCGCGTGCAACAGGTCAGCATCCGTCTCCCTCCCTTATAAAGGTGGGCCCCGGTCCCTGCGGCCCAAGGACAGCTCAGGCGGCCCACCGTCCTGCCAGCCAGGTCACCGTCCGGGGGCTTCTAGGCTGGTCAGCTCCCAGCATGGGATCTCGGGGACTTCACTCCCTTCTTCCTGGGGCTCTCTGTCCTTTCTGTGCTGCCCATTCCTGGCCCGTGTCCCTCCCCTGTGCTACCTCCCTCCCCCAGGCCGGTTGCCTCCGTCCCCAGAGAGGGGCTGGGTGTTCCCGGGGCGTGCCTGTAGCTGCCAGTCCTGGGTGTGTCCCCGGGGACAGCCCTCCGGGCGGAGCTGGGGCAGGGGTGCTGGCCTAAGACCCTTTTTGGTTATCAGGTGGCATCGCGGGGCCTGGCAGGGCCCCGTCCTCTCGAGTGGAGAGGGGGTGGTGCAGAGAGGCCGGGACTCTCGGAATTTCAGGGTGTGAGGTTTTTTTCTCCCGGACCCCCTGCCCCACTAGAGTGAACGGGACCCCGCCTGGACCCCACAGCCCTCCTGTGGGTGTGCACACATGCACACACATGCCTGCCCACGCTTACCTCTCTGGTGGCTCCCTCAGTCGTCTGGTCGGGCCCCTCGGGCAGCTCTGTTGCAGGGCGGCAGGCCTGGGGGTGGTGGCTGGGGGTCCAGCCCCCACCGTGGGGCCTCCAGAGCTCCGTTGCTCCTCACAGCAGCCTGGGTTGGTCCAAGATACTGTTGCTCCTGGGAAGTGCTGACACTTCCCTGGACCCAGAACACTCCTCCTTGCCACCGCCCACCCTGCCAGGCCGGCCCTGCCAGCCGGGGTGCAGCCCAGACCACACCCTCTGCCGTGCCCTGCCCAGACGCTGGGACCTGCTGTCCCTCCCATTGCCCACTGTCCAGCGGGGGGTACAAGCCGACCGCAGAGTCTCTGACATCCGGGTGTAGCCTTGGGTGGCCACATCTCTCCAGTCCGTGTGGTCGGGGGTCCGATGCCCCCCTCCTACGGTGCAGTGAGGGGCAGACGGGGGGACGCGTGCCGTCACCGAGGGATGGGCTCCTGGCTCCGAGCAGCCCACGCGGGGTCTCCGAGGGGCCTCCTCCGGAGACGCGGAGCCGCTGAGAAGTCGGCCGGCCACCTGCTCCCGCGGGAGAGATGGTCCCCACCGTTTCCTCACAATCTCGGAATCAGAGGGTCCTCACTTCCCACCGAGCACACCTTCACCCCCACCCCCACCGCGACGCCATCTCTCTGCTTCCGGCCAGGGTGCAGACTATGAAGCTGCGGGGGCAGAGCGCCTCCCTGCACTCGGTCGCAGCTCACTCAGGGCCCTCTGATTTTGCGCATCGGTCGGTCGTCCTTCCAGTCACTCACCCGCGTGCCCCTCTCCTGACCGCCAGTGTCACGCCAAGGCACTAAGACGCCGGCGCTCAGCGGTCCTGCGTGCAGGTGTCTTAGTCCACCGCTTCGTTGTCGTAATGGGTTCTGGAGGATCGGGGGCTGCCAGGAGAAGCTGCTCGGAGTGATCGCCGAGGGCAGCCGCCCTCCCTGGCTTCTCTCGTTCACTCTCGGCTCTGAGCCACGTCCCCATGTGCACTGAGGAAAAGGGAGGGCGTGCGAGGGAGCGGGTCTGGGGGGCCTCTGCACTGGGCAGATCGCATGGTGGTGGGAGGGCGTGACCTTGACGGAGGAAACCCTCCAGCAGGCCGGGCTGCAGAGGCTGTCGACGAGCCCCGTGTCCGTTAACTTCCATCGGCCTGCGGACTGCTGGGCACGCGCCATATGCAGCCTGTCCGTGCACAGGAATGACCATCCCCAGGGCGCGGACCGCCGCCTGCAGGGACTGCGGCCTCCCGGATTGCTCCTCCTGAACCGTAGCGGCAGAGGGCCCAGCGCCTCCCCACCCCGTCCCGTGCCTGGATTTATAGGGCAGGGCAGCGCCCAGGCACAGGCGTAAGCGACAGGAGCGCGTAGCATCCGGCCAGTTTCCACAAGCCACCAGACAGTTCCCGGCAGCTGTAAGGGTGACGCGGAGAAAGTGCTGGGGGCCCCGCTCTGTTCCACGCCAGGCCCGCCACCCCCGCCAGGCTGCCGAGGGCCTGGGCAGGCACCACCCTGGGTCTCCGAGCCCCGTGTCTCCGGGGCCTCTTCTTCAGGGCGGCCTCGAGGGGTGGGTGTGCGGCTTCGTCGCGCAGTCCGGCCACCAGCAAGCGGCGGTGAGGGGCCTGCGCCCGGGTTCGAGTCCCCGCTCTGCTGCGCTGGGGCGGCTGGGCGATGCTGCCTCCGTCCCCCTCTGGAACACGCGGATGACAAGAGGAGTGACCTCCCTGGGTCTGAGTGAGGACATGGGCTGTCCCCCGAGCCTGGTCACCGTGATAGGCAGGTATGCTAGTCCCAGGGAGACGCATTTAGGGACCACACCAGAACACCGAAAGCTGCAAATCTGATCCCAGCCTCAGGTTCCCTTGTAAAATGGGAGGAGTCGTGACCCCACAGCACAAACACCTAATTCTGAGATAACAAGCGTTGAGTAACTGCTGAGTATTAACCTGAGAACGCCACGCCTCTGCTTGTGGGGGTGGGGGCGGTGCTTCTCCAGCAGCCGGTTCCTCCCCACCCGTCAGGACACCCCAGTCCTTGGGGGTCCTCGTGTGTGCACGCCCCTTCCCTTCTCTGGTCGGCTGCTGTGTCCTTAGAACTTGTGCTGGTCCCAGTCCCCCGAGAGGCCCACCAAGCGGGGCTCAGGGGGCAGGATGTAACCGGGCGAGTGCGGTGGGAAGGCAGGTGGGGTGGGAGTGGCCAGGCTGGCTACAGGTCTGCCCGAGAGGCCGGGAGGTGGGGCGGAGCTGGCCACAAAGGAGTCCTGTGTCTCTCAGGGACGGGCCTGCCTCAGTTTCCCCGGTCACCCAGGCTCCCGGCAGCAGCGTCAGCGCCTCCTCTGGGAAGTCTGGCAGGATTCCCATGCGTGAGCCCCGCGGTCGCCATCTGCCAGGCTGTGCCCCGGGCGGGGCAGGGCTGATGGTGACCCCGCACATTCTGCTGACAGAATGAGCCCTTGAAGAGTTTCCCTCTGTCCCATCTTCAGCGAACTCATGCTCACCTCTAAACCGGACCGGCGGCTTGAACCAGTCCTTCCCATCGCCTGTTGGAGAGGAGTTTCTAAAGTCAAAAACCTCAGGGTCTCAGAAACCGTTGGTTCTGAGGGAAACCAAATAAAAACATCCCTTCTGCTCTCACGAGGACATGGACGCCACCCAAGGTGTTTCTTTACGGAGATCTTGTTTAAGATTTTATTTTTAAGTCACCTCGACGCCCACCCTGGGGCCGGAACACAGCCCCAAGATCGAGAGTCGTACACTCCACTGAGCGAGCCAGCCGGGCCTCCCCTCTTTACACAGGGACCCCAGCTTCCAGACCCCGGGCCCTCATCCCCTCTAGTCTCCGGTCCTCTGCAGGGCGGACTCAAACGGCACACTGGAGCCCCGCTTCTGGTGCGGACAGTGACGCGCCACCATGGCTAGTGGGGGACGAGGACCAGCCCAGAGGGTCCGAGCTGCTGTCCACCAGAGGCCCGGGCGGTCACAGGCCACGAACGCCGACCTGAAGCCCACGCCTCACCGTAACTGCCGCACGGCAAGACGGTGAGAGAGGTTCACGGAACAGAAGGCAACGGCTGTCCGGCAAGCCAAACCGGCTCAGAGAAGCCGGGGGAAGGAGCAAGGGCAGCGTGCACAGCGTGTGTGAACCTTGCCAAACAAGCTTTCCTCCCACTTACGGTGCGCTGAACCGAACCTACGCCGCGTGACGTTAGTTTCTCAGTACTGCCAGGAAGGATGGTGAGGTATCCGGGGACAGGCATTTATTGAGAATAAAAAAAATTTCCTTCAACAACAGATACTGCACGTGGGGGGCCAGGACTCATGCCTGATGACTCATCTTTCAAGTCTCAAACATACGCAGCGATCTGGACCCGGGTAAGAACCGTTCACAGCCCCCAGACACACTCCGCAGCTTTCCTCCACCCGCGGATAAGTTAGCGCCCAAAGTACCAGTCTGCCTGGGATGTGCACATTTCTTCTGGCTTCTAGAGCTAAAGGCAGAGCTCCTCCTCCTGCCTGACCCCGGGTGTCGCGTGTCCCCTCAGCCCGCTGAGTAGCAGGCGCGTCTGCTGCTCCAGGGTCACCACACCTGGCAGGACTGGATCACCTCCTTCAAGGCCTTCAGCCCCTCCACACTCCTGTCCTTCACGGCCATGGCCAGGAGGACCGCTCTGTTTCCAGCTTCCTGAGACACAAACGTCACCAGGTTCTTTGCTAAGACATGGATGAGAGGCTGGTAAAGGAAAGAAGAGAAACCATTTTAATTGCGACAAATCTGTTTTCCCTTAGCGCCTTCGCGGTGTCCCCTAGGAACCCGACTGGCTTTCTACAACCCCAATAAATCACACCCCACCCCGTAAGTTCAAAGCAACAGTCGTGCAGCATTCAACCAGACTCCAGAACACTCCAGTCCTAAACAAAACGCTGAAGAGGCACCATTCTACTCATTTTCTTGGTGCCTTCTGATTCCCTGGTCTCTTCTGGTGGCCATCATCTAGAAGGAATCGTGAAACGTATTCTGCACGGCTGGGGTGGGGTCTGTCAAACCTCACAGGCGATCTCGTCAGAGCTCGTTACTCCAAGGTAGCATGAGAGGCTCAAACCTTACAAGATCAATACCCCGCCTGTCCGCCAGATACAACACTGACGGGCTGGGAAAAGCACGCGCCTAGGGCAGGCAGGTGCTCTCTCAGCTGCGCAGGCTTCAGGAAATGCCGTGGCTGTCGGCGGGCTCCGTGGCCCTCCCACCGGACCCTCCGGCCACTACTCACAAACCGCAGTCACACCAGCGGGTTTTCCTCCACCGTGGGGACCCCTTCCCAGCCACTTTACCTCGTCCTGCCCAAGAAGGACTTTCGTGGTGAGCACAGGCTTGCTGATGTCACTGGCCACGGGGCTGGGCTCCAGGGAGACCAGGGTACCCATCTTCCCGAACTGGGTCACCACCACCAGGATGTGACTGCTGAAGGCTGTGCAGACCACCTGCGTGGGGACCCCACACACCACTTCCGTCTTCTGCTTGGAGACCAGCAAGGGTTTGCCTTCCATGGATGGGTCTCTCCAGTGGCACTTTCATGTTTAACAAGGAAAGAGAAAAAACCAGAGTAATTCAGCCAAACCGCGTCGGATGTGCCCCGTGGCTCCAGCGTTAGTGCCACCCGGTACCAGACACAAGCACGCCCATCCGAGCAAGCGCCCGTGCACCCACACGGGCTTCACCCGGAGCCCCCGGGAGCCGCTCCCAGGCGCACAGTGCAGACGTGCGGGCTGCGCCTACCAGGCGGGCCGTCAGGGCACACGCTGGTCTCTGTCCCCGGAGGCTCCCGCCCTCCCGCCCGGCTCCACACCCGTCCGCGGCCCGAGGCCGGCGGGAGCGAGCGCCGCAGGTGCACAAGGCTGGGCTCCAGCAGGTGGCCGCGCTCCCGTCGCCCGCTGAGCTTCCCCTTCCGTTTGGGGAAACGACCGCCCCCACAGGACAGGGCAGCACCTCCCGCGCGGGCGAAGGGCAGACGGCGACGGGAAGCCGGTAGGCCGGGGGCCCCGCGGGGGCGCGCGCCGTCTACCCATCCCACCCGCCACGCCGCCCGCGCTTACCGCGCCGCGCCCGGAAGTGACGCCCTTGGGCGACGCGGGCCCGCCCCCGCAGGGGGCCCCGCCTACTCGCGCTGCGGCCCCTCCCACCGGAAGGGCGCCTGCGAGCTTCCGGTCCCGGCACGGTCTCCGGCGCCCTGAGCAGCGGGGTTCCGCGCTCCGGAGAGGGGACGCCTGTTCGGGGCGAGGGGCGGCAGCCCCCCACCCGCGGGCCTCGGCCTCCCGGCCTCTGGCTGCTCCCCCGGGGTGTCCTCGGTAGTCGGGGCAGCGCCTGGCTATGGGTTCCCTACCCGCATGGCGGCCCGGGGGCTGTCGGAGCGGAGCCGGCGCCGTGCAGAGGTCGCCCCACGCAGAGCGGGCCGTGAGGGCCGCCGCCGCGGACACAGGGACCTGGGTGTGGCCGGCAGGAGTCGGAGCCCGGGCGCGGGGCGTCCTGCTGACCCGGGCGGGCGGGACGGCTCGGAGGCCCCACGGCGAGGCCAGGACTGAGGGCCCCGGGGCGGGGGCGGTCCGTGGGGGGCGAGCCCTCCGCCCCACTCTCCCGGGGCCCCCAGCCCTCCTGGGGTGGTCTGCAGGGGTGGGGGCGATCTGCGGGGCCGGAGGGCGGTCCGTGGGGGGCGAGCCCTCCGCCCCACTCTCCCGGGGCCCCCAGCCCTCCTGGGGTGGTCTGCAGGGGTGGGGGCGATCTGCGGGGCCGGAGGGCGGTCCGTGGGGGGCGAGACCTCCGCCCCACGCTCCCGGGTCCCCCAGCCCTCTGGGATCGTTCTGCAGGGGTGGGGGCGGTCTGCGGGGTCCTCCGCCCTATATTCACGCGGGCCCCAGCCCTCTGGGGTCCATCTGGGCCACCCTTCCAGCGCACGTCCATCGGACTCCTCAGGCCGTGGTGGGTGCCCGGCATTGGGCGAAGTGCTCTGTGAGCAGTGGTTCCTGCAGTCTTGACCCCGTCCTATAGACAGGCTGTTCAGGTTCAGAGCGCTTGCCCCGGGTCGTAAAGCTGGTAAGGGCTGGATCCGGGCTTCAGACGCTCGCCCTGCTTGCCCTGCATGACTGGTCTGAGGGCTCCGCGCTCAGGTACGGGGGAAGAGGAGGGACCAGCGTGGCCCCTGTGGCAGGACGATTTCTCGTCCCCTCCCGCCATCTCTGACAGCCCCCCAGGGCTCATCCTCTCTTTCTCCAAGCTGGAAGTGTTATTGGCGGGGTGGGGGACCTTGCTGCCCTAGCTTGAGCCTGCAGATTCCTCCTTAGGGCAGTAACAGCCCTTCAGAACCCGCACTCAGCGGCCTTGCTGTCCAGGTTCCTGACAGCCCCTGCGGGGCCGCATTTCCCCTCCACCTGGTCTGCCCACCCCACTGAGCCCCTTAGGAAGCCTTGGCATCCCTAATCTCTGCTCCCTTTTCTCGTGATTTAATGATTCCTTAGACAGTCCATGTCAAGTCCAATGAAGCGTGCGCCTTCCAAAAGGATTTCTGGTGGCTTAAAATAAAAGGCGTGTATACAAAACTATCAAAATAGAAATCAAAATCAAAAGGAAACCTGTTTTTGAGCTTTCTTGCAGCCGGTTCACAGAGGGAAAGATTATAACTTTCAAGGTTCCAATACTCAAAAAGGATGAAGGGTATCAATTTCTCCCGAGTGTTTTTGTTGGGGCTAAATTTAAACCCACATCCACCCACACACACCCCAAAAGCAAATTGCCAATTCTGTTGCTTTGCCGTGGGAAACCTTACGAAGGTGCATTCACTGCTGTTCACCTATTCGTGCATTTTCTCTGTATACAAATAGACATAAGTTTGACACCCTCCCCTCCAAAAAATACCCAACTCTGAAATAAAGTTCTCACCTTTATGAAAGACGTGCAAGAGCAGAGTGGCTGATAAGTTTCGATGACACTTATGCAAATATGTCAGTGCTTGTCTGTTGGCTGTTTTTTGGTCGAGATCTTGGATAGAGGCTGCATATGAAGGAAAGGAGGTGGGAAGTCTAGGAGGGGCTTCCTGGAGGCCGAAGTGGGCACGTGGGCAGAACGTGGGCACTTGGAATAATGGGGGCCCAGCTCATTGCCTGCCCTGGGCTGTTGTCCAGTGGGAGGCGAATTCCCTTAAGTGAATCCACTTAAAATGGGAACTGAGTAGTGAGAGTGTCACTGGTGGGGCAGAAGAGTCTGAGAATTTATCTTAAAAAAATGGGGGCAAGGGGCGCCTGGGTGGCTCAGTTGGTTAAGCGACTGCCTTCGGCTCAGGTCATGATCCTGGAGTTCCGGGATCGAGTCCCGCATCGGGCTCCCTGCTCGGCAGGGAGTCTGCTTCTCCCTCTGACCCTCCTGCCTCTCATGCTCTCTGTCTCTCATTCTCTCTCTCTCAAATAGATGGATAAAATCTTAAAAAAATAAAAATAAATAAAAATTCTCATTAGAAATATATATTTAAAAAAAATGGGGGCAAAAGAAAATGTCTTGAATTTGTCTTACATTCAAGGAATTCTAGGTTATGAATGCCGTTATACGTTAATTTGTAGAACCAACGAATCCAGTGTGGATTTGGCAGGGTCATAATTTTCCCAACAAGTTGTCCAACAGCGATTTTCCCGGCTGCATAACAAGGAGGGCGGTCCGAGGGTACCATCCGCTTCCCCAAGAGCCTCTCATGATCCTTTGATATGCACGTTTGTCCTTGGAGTCTGTCCTCTCACCAGCCGGCCCCGTCTGGCACTGCCGGGCCCTCCACGTTTGCCGCCACATTCCCCAGTATTAACCTTAATGGGCTTTCCGAAATCTTGCATCTCACATGATGCACGGCAGCACCCCCAGCCTCGCAGCGTACCTACCAGGACTTGCGACGTCGTGCCTGTGCGTGAGAGAGAGTGGGGGACACGGAGGGGCATTTAAGGGGAGCCCCGTTTTGTAAACGGTCGATTCAGTAGGGAAACCTTCTGTGTTAGGATGTCCCTACTTCCCTCTGCGAGCTCATGCCTTGCCAGCTCCGGCAGGCACACAGGGGCCTAAGATGTCAACCCTGGAAGGCTCCAGAATCTACCTCCTTGGCCCTTACTAGCTGTGCTTTGGGGCAACCTTCCCTGTCAGCCTCAGCTTCTCAGCTCGGAAATGGAGAGAACACGGTGCCGGCCTCACAGGAGGGAATGAGGTGGGCCGCGGGCCGTGATTTCCCGGAGCTTTATGAAGTTAGCTATTACTTCATGTGTTTTCATACTTACTTATACATTTATACATTATTTATTACCTTTATTATTAAACACCTGTCCTCTCATCCACAGGTGAGTAACATCCTGCTGCCGTATGCCGGGTGAGGAATGGCTCGAAAGCAAATCAGTCTTTGGGGCTCAGAGGCCCTTGACCTGCAGGAGGCTCTCAGAGCTGCCACCCTCCAGGGTCTGCCCGAGGGAGCGGCTCATAGACACAGTGTCCCCTCCAGGTTTCGGTGAGATGGTGTAATAGGTGGAGCTGTGTTATTTGTAGAAACGATAGCCCCTCTCACGTGTCCCAGCCAGTCTCCTAAGAGGACCCGGGTATGCAGAGAGCTGGAGATCACGTTTGTGATGCAGGCCTGAGACACGGCATCAGATAAGCAGATTTTATTCCCTTTAGGCGGTAGATACTTAGGACCGAGTTACGGGAGGTGTGTCCATTAGGGTTCTTCCAGGCAGAGGTGACAGACACCGTGTGAAACCGTCCTTTGCTCCAAAGGAGAACAGATGGGCTCACTGGACAGCTGAGAAGTCCTGGACACTCCGACGATTCTCCCCTCCGTTTCTCAACTCCAAGATTGCTGTCCTGCGTCCCGTCAGCATCACCAGCCCCTGCCCCCAGTCGCTCTCTTTCCCAGGATTCCCCGGGAACATCCAGGCCAGTCTCCCTAGACCAGCCTGGGTCACTTGCCTGTCCTTGAACCAATCGCTCCGTGAAAACGAATTCATGTACGAGCAGCTCCCCCTGCATTTGAGAGTTAGCAAGTCCTTGTCAGTGATTACGTCAACGAAGAAATCATAATGAACGTGACGAAATATCTAGAGGGCCCCACCCTCCCCGCCCCCCACCCCTGGAAACCACGCACCCACTTTGTGTTTCTGCAGATTTGCCCATGTGGACAACGCCCACAAGGGGACTCCTGCACCACGTGGCCTTCCGTGGCCGGCTCCTTCCACTCAGCAACGTGTGGACAAGGTTCATGCACGCACCTCAGGGCTGCGTTCCTTCCGACAGACCGGCTCTTGGGAGGATTAAATGAGGTCACATGGTGAAAGGGCCTGGTGGAGGGCCGGACACACCCGGTGTACAACAGGGCTGCCCGCCTTTCACGGGTCAGCGGGATCCACTCACGGAACCACACACAAGGGGCCTCTTGGGACCAGCGGCCCTGAGCTCTCTTCACTGCTGGCGTTTGGGGGCAGCTGATGCCGAGGAGTGGCCATGTCAACCTATCTGTCTGGTCCCCTAATGCGCCCGAGATGGGTCTGGGGATATCTAAGCACAGGCCTTGATACAGCCAAGGCCAAGGGGTCCTCCTGCCCCAGTCCCGTCCCTGGGGAAATGCTGTGGCGGTTCGGGAGTTGCTGGTGCCCGTTAGGACAGAAGCAGGTGCGAGAGGCCTCGGGGGCATGGCCACCTCCGTGGTGGTCTGCGGATCTTTCTCCGAGCGGTTTTCCTGCCCCCGCCGCCGCCGAGGCTGGGGATGCTCTGCCCTGGGGGCCCCCGCATTTACCGCCAGCCCACGCCCGCCCTTTCTGTGCCCCAGCTGGGAGTGACCCCGTGCACGGCGGTCACAGACACCCTTGAACAAATAGTGGCACGGAATTAGAAGCGGTTCTAATTAGAGTTCTCCACAAGACAGAGATTACTATAGCAGCACCCAGTT